TGATATAGAATCATTAATTACGTATACAAACCTTATAAAAAACGTATCATTTTCTTATTTCGATTTCTTATAGGGATATGGTTTATATGAATTTAAAAGAATGCCTTTTGGATTGAAAAATGCTCCTGGAACTTTTTAACAACTCATGAATTATATCCTACAAGATTATTTATATAAATTCATAGCTGTATACTTGGATGACATTATAATCTACCCATCCTCTTATGAAGAACATGTTAAACACTTACAGCTTGCATTCAAAGCGATCAGAGAAGCAAAGTTAATGATCAAACTTAAAAAGTGTCAATTCTGTTTACCAAATATTCCATTTCTTGGATATATCGTAGGAAGGAATGGTCTACAACCTGATCCAGAAAAAATTAGAAAATTAAAGAATTACCTGCTCCACAAGGGTTAACTGAATTAAGAGCAGCATTAGGATTATTTTTTTACTACAGAAAATTTGTTAAAAGGTTCTCTCAAATAGCTAAAACTTTAACTATTTTATTAAAGAAAGATACACCATATAATTAAACAGAAATTCAACATAAATTTTTTGATACTGAAAAATAAGTTGATCACATTACCTATCCTTCAATACCCTAATTTCTCTAAACCTTTTACTTTATATACTGATGCTTCAGGAGTAGGATTAGGTGCTGTATTATCTCAAATGGATGAAGATAATAATAAACATGTAATTGCTTATGCTAGTAAAAGTATGAATAAAGTGGAACAAAATTACTCTATTACTGATTAGGAATGTCTCGCAGTAGTATGGGCTATTAGAAATTTCCATTATTACTTTAGTTCTAAACCATTTACAGTAATGACTGATCATTCTGCTCTTAAATTGTTAAGGACCTCAAAAATTCCTAAAGGACGACGTGCTAGATGGATCATGGAGTTACAACAATATGACTTTAATATTCAACATCGTCCTGGTAAAAATAATGCTTTATCCAGATTAATTCCTAAACAAGAAAATGACGAATTTTATAGAGAAGCATTTATGGCTACAATTAATGGAGAAACAAGTTTTTCAGAACATCATGAAGATAGTATTAATGAAGAAATCGAATGGTATTCATCAAGTTACAATTCTTCAACTAACAATAATAATAGTATAAGTGATGAGGAATGGTTTGAACAAGAATTATCTTAACAATTCGCAAATACTCCTTTAATTACAATGGGATACAATTGTGGTCAAAAAGAACTTAAGGATATTTATAAAGAAAATTTGAAGATTAAGCAAGTAATTGCTAATCAACCAATTACTAAAGGTGATTCACAATGTACCTTTTATTGTGATATTGAAAACCATCATATCCATACGTATTGTAAAACATGTAAAACGAACTTATCGTATGAGACTATTATCCATAATTGTTTTATTGAATTCAGCCCTGGGAAGATTCAACCTGATATGAATCCAACTTACTTATCTAATGACCTTTGGTGGAATGAACCTATTATGGTACAACAAGAAAATGCTTACGCATAACTTTATGAATCCCTTGAATATTTTGATTCTTTAATGAACCCCTTATCTTGTTAAAAATTCTTTTTATTATAAATTATTTAAAATAATTATATTTATTTTAACTCATATTTTAGAGTGAAAGCTAAAGTGTCTACATTGTGATAGGCAGCTCAAATAATCATTGATACTACTCAATATAATATCCTTTTTATATATTTAACCTTAAATATGTTTCCCCATTCCTTTAATTCTCAAGATATCATCAAATTAAAAATTTTTTAAAGTCAAAAATGATCTATTATATAAGGAACCTAAAAAGAATCCAGAAAAATTATTAAGAGTAATCAAAATATCAGAATTAGAAGCAATTCTTTATATGATGTATAATGATCCAACAGCTGGACATTTTTCTACTAATATAATGTTTAACAAAATTCGTATATGATATTATTGGCTTCAAATGTACGAAAATATTAGATCTTATGTTCAAGCATGTGACGCATGTTAACGAAAAGGAAGACCTAAAACTAAAAATGAATTACATTTTATTCCAGTTGATTCACCATTCTATAGAATTAGAATAGATTTTGTTAGACCTTTACCACGAACAAGCCGAGGAAACAAATATATTATAGTTGCTGTTGACTATTTAACTAAATGGCCTGAAGCTAGAGCAGTAAGAGATGCTACTGCTAAAAATGTTGTCAAATTCTTATATGAGAATATAATTTGCCGACATGGATGTCTTACAAAAATCTTATCTGATAGAGGATCTCATTTCAATAATCAACTTGTTACTTAATTAATGGAACAATTCCATATTAGACATAATTTATCAACTCCTTATCATCCTAGAACGAATGGATTAGTAGAAAAATTCAATAGAACTTTGTGTAAATCCTTGGCAAAATTGGCTGAAAAATCTACCCAATAGAATCAATATATTTCACCTGTACTATTTGCTTATTGTACAAGTAAACAATCAGCCACAAAAATAGAACCTTTTTATCTGGTTTATGGACGAAATGCAACGTTACCAATTGATAATCCTGATGATCCTGATGATATCTGTACCAATCAAGATTTTCTTTTACAAGATAGAGTTGATCATCTGATCAACAAATTGCCATTAGTGCGACAAGATGCAAAGACACAAATACAACTTGCATAACAAAAACAAAAGAAATATCATGATAAGAATACCAAGATCTCTGTAACACTTAATATAGGAGATAAAGTTTTGTATTTTGAAGCGGCTAAAGACAAAACACATTCAGGAAAATTAGATCAAAAATGGAAAGGACCGTACTATATTCATCAATTGTTATTAAATGGATCATATAAGATAAGAGAACTAGATGGTCGTGTACTTCGAACCCCAGTAAATGGAGATCTTTTAAAAGTATATAAGAACTCTTTATTTCAAAATTCAATTTAAGAATCTTATATTTTATTTTTATCTATTATGAAACAAATTATTATTAACGATTTAAAAGAAACCTTACTTTTGGAAATAACACCTGCTTTCCCTCTGTATTCTGCTGAATTAGATTTGCAAAAGAAAATTCAAATGACATATCGAATGTTACTTCGATCATCAAGAATTAAGGATTGAATTTTTACTTTAATAAATGCCTACTATCTAGGAAAATTACTTGAAACTGAAACAACTACTTTAGCACAAAGAAATCAATTAAGAGGACTACTTACTAAGTATTACGATCTAGTATCTATTAGGACATATTATTTATTTGAAGCTTTAGAAGTAGATCAAATCCAATGAACCCGAAATGTGACGTTAAAGGATATTTACTGACTATCAAGTAATTCCTATCGATTCTTAGTTGATGAAGCTACTAATATTTGGACAGTAGCTTCAAATTTAGAAGGGGGGATTGAAGCCATGATCTGTAACTGTAGCGATCATCTGATTTAATTGATAAATATGACAGATTAGTCATATTTGACCAATGATCTATATTTATTATATTTATTATATTTGTTAACTTTATTAACTTTATTAAATTTGTTATATTTGATAGATTTATTATATTTATTTTATT